GTCGGAATGATCTGGTATTGTAAAATAGTTTTTTTATATGTTGCACACCGGGTGAAGGATCAGTCGTGTAACATCGATGGTCGCTCTTGTAGTATTAGTCATGTATTTCCGTTATCACTGTCTGGGACAAATCCACTAATACCCAACGACCCAAGATATTATTATTACAAATACAGCATTGAGAAACTCATATTAGAAAATTTTGCAACAGAGTAAATATCACATCAGAGGTGGTTACGTTATCAAGATATACTATATAAATAGGATTTAATATTAAATATAGATCTGATCACTTAAAAAATTTAAGCTTAGTCAATTTTGTATCCACACTGACAATAAAAGTTATCTCGGGTTTATCCTTCTATAAATTTATCTTGAATTACTACATTTATACGCTTATGCAAATTGGTTTTGATCTAGTAGTCATTCATTCATTATAACACCTAATCATAAATCATGATTCTTGTACGATGTGTATAAGAAGCTGTACTGTATCAGAACACAGAAATGCTAGACTGCTAATGGATGAAGTAGGGATGAAGACGCAATTCACCGCGCAGAAATTTTTAATTATAACTACTTGCTTAGTATATTTAATAAAAATTCGTGTACTCTGAACCTTAACTCTAACAATTATTGGCTAACTGTAATGTTGTTACCGTAACATGTTACGTACAGTACAATACATCTATTTAATTTTTACTAATTGGTATCATACAGTATGTGTACATTCCTAAATAAACCTTCATAAGTGGCTTAATGTTAATATCCAATGACAGTATTTAGGATATATAGAATTACTTAGGGAAAACTTTTTATTAGAAGTGCTCGAAAGGTGTTTCTTAAGCAAATTTTTGAGCAATGTATTTTTTTAAAAAAATAGCTTCATTTAACCGGGGAAATTCGCTTTCTTATTTTTTTTAGGGTTAGGTTGCAGTTTTGGAAACAAATAGGGTCAAATTTAAAGGTCCAAATTTTAGTTAAGGTTAAGTTTTTGGGGGTTCTGGACATTTTTGCATACTACATACTACCGTACTTATACAAAATTTATGCAATATGTAGATCCATATACTAATTTAAGGAATCTCCAAAATTTAGAATGAAATCAAATAACTGCGCTAATACAAATTAACAAATACTAACCTCACGTAGGATTAAAAACATATGTAATTTTTTTATTAGTTAATAATAAGGTTTACGTTAAAATGCTGTATAATTATTATTATGAACTTAACATTGGAAATACAGTATTAATTATTCTATTTAAAATATTTAAATTAATAGAATTTGATGCCTTCTAGGCATCGCGGCGAATTCACGGAATTTGGTCTTTATTAAGTTATTCTTTATAAAAATTAAAATATCAAATAAGGGTCCATTTTATACATTTTGGGATAAAAATCAATGTCGCCAATCATCCGCAGTAGGATCTCTACAATCTCCTGGCAACTTTTCAGGACACTTTATTTCTGCAAACTTATAACTGGTGGTATTACCACTAACTTCGAAGCAGCCATTTTTATTGACCTTTGAGATAGTTTGATCTTCGTTAGTACGGTTCTTCATGCGAACCACCATATGAGGACAATATGGATTTTTGTTTTGGATATTGTCACGTTTCGACACCAAACAACGACCAGTACAATATTTTATGCCTCTATCGAACAATGTGTGACCTTTACAATCCGTTACATAACCATGACATATACCCGATTCCAAAGTAGAAATGACGATCGATGTAAAGAATTCTATACAATATTCAATAAAATGTTTAATATATTAGCTAACATATTAATATAATACATTTTCTATCGATATTCGACAATATTATCTTCTTCACCTTTGTTATTCTTTTTACCATCAGCTATATTAGTTACCAGGCAACATGTGATTAAGATGGTAAGAATAAAAATATGAAATTTCATAGGAAATTATCGTTCCTCAGTATATATCGTTGTAGTATGGTGAGGTTGGTTATAATTATAAGAACTATTCTGATGTAAAAAAAAAAAAAAGAAAAAACAAGCGTTTATATATGCTTTTTTTTATTTTGGAATCGTCAGAATAATATTATTTCCCTTCGCAATGATCGCCACAAAAAACATCACGGTCATAAGTTAACAGAAAATCATTGGCGATCCATGTTTCATCAAAGGTTCAGTTTACCGATACCAATAGATTATTCAAATTTGCTGGCGATCAATAATTTAACGTGTCTGCAGAATTGGATTTTTTTTTAGTGAAACCTAATTCATGATTAGGCTACGCAAGTTAATTTTTCGTTTTACATTACTTCCGGCCCAAATCTTTTTTTTTTTTTTACTACAATTTTGTTTAAAACAAGGATGATATTTATTTTAATAGTTTCTTTGAATATACTAAAAAAATAGATACTCATTTAACTGATTCAGAAAAGAGTAAATCGGGACATTTTGGGACGGTAGACAATCAATGAACACAAAACTTTGTCTGGATCTTCGGGAAGTATGATAATTTACGTAGTAAGTTAGGATTGAACCTGAAATTTTAGATCATAGAAATCGTAGCATAATATTTGAACAAGTAAAATGCTTAAGTGCCTTTTGTTATTTCAAGAAAGCTTCGGAAGTTAAAGACTCCCGCTACACAAAAGCTTATTAACATGAGTCTATTAATTTAGAATTAAAAAACAACCAACTGACCAGATTTTTGAAATCCATGTTATGCAATACGAAACACTAGCTTTGTGTGGCCTTAGTCTTTTGTTTATAAAATAAATCCAAATTGAAAGAAATAAATCAAAAAAGAAGTTAAAATGTTATTTAAAGTGCTATTTCAATGAATTTTATAATGCTGATTAATAAGCTTGGAGACGGGGATGGTTAAGGTCTGGAGTATATGTAGTTGTGTAGTTGTTAATCAAATTCATTTATGTAAGTGGTAATGACGAGCTTAAGCCCGAAAAGAATGAAAACTGAAATCCTCTAGTGAAACGACAACCCAGAAAAATCTAACCCTAACATCGTAGAATTGTCCGAAATTTTTGAAAAATCGAAGGTAGATTGGCTATGGCAAGAAATTTCTTGGTCTCGTGATTACTAACCATTTAAATCCCTTTGACATAATCTGAAAATCATTAAATCATATCAACATCTGTCTGATCGCGTTACATTATACAAAATCATGCTTTGCTAATTTTTCTGTCAATTATGGCAATAGCAGATCATCTAAGAGACAGTATGGACAGTGCAGGTATTTAGGGTTTATTTTAAGGTTGATGGATTTTAGCATTATATCACATACATTACTGTCCATAAGAACCTTCCGTAGACTCTACTAAGAACGTAGTCATGCAAATGACGGAGTGTATGGTTAACTGCCATCTAGAATGCCGTGTTCGCAAAATCTTACATTTGGTTGGATAGCGTGATCATAGATCATATTCACATGCCATATTTAGCGTATCTTAGCTAAATCAAGTAAAATCTAGATTTATTATATTTATATGATGTACAGTATGTAAATTATGATGTAATCAAGCGTGATACAATTAGTCATTATCCCATCTACGTCATAATTCAAACTCTGGTGATAACAATAAGGTTAACGTTAAAATCATTTTTATTTTTTAACTAAAGAATGATAACGATAATGATAAATATTTTTATATAGTCGATTCATATCTGTGTTCAGTTTCTTGGACTTGTATTTGATATTTTCTGTTCATTAAGACATTTTTTCAAGTCTTCAATTGTTTTTTTTCACTCATTTGATTTTTAAATTTTTATAGATTATTACTTGTATTATCACTGTGAATAACTTATGACTGATAATTCATGTGATGAATAGTAAATTTATAATGTCAGCTACATTTTTTGTGGGTGATGCTAGGTTTGCTTGCTCATTTACATATTATAATCAATAAAAATAAAATTGCGATTGATACTGAGCAATTCATTAATAATATTATATTCATTGATATTTAGTTGCATCAAATAAAGTAATATCGGTAAAATAGCTGAATTTATTGCTGTATGAGTAAAGATTAAGAGATGGAGTATCCATACAGTAATTGTTTTTTTGGGACTTCTGATTTTTTTGATTTTTCATAAAAATTTTTAGTTTATTACTTACCAGATTTGGTTTCTAAAATCTATATAGTTGACCTGAAACTTCTGGATTTGATATACAAATTGGTTTGGTATGGTTTGTATATAATAGGGTAATCCTGGTTTTTCAGAATTATTAATACTGCAATCTGTTGCAAATATTAAATTAAAATCATGCGTAGGAATTCTATAAATCAGTATTTTTAATAATCAGAATTTTTTTGTTAATATTAAATTTTTTTATATTTTTTTCATATTATACTGATTGTTACTCTTCATCTGTAGGTTCTAAATTCTATTTGATAGTAGAAACATGAGATACTTATGCTTAATTTTATGCAATACTAACAATTCTTTAGAGAATTATAACATGTTAATCTTATTAATACTATTTATATATTACTATGTATATCATTATAAGTGTTATGCTGATCAAGTTAAAGAAGCTAGATGCACAAAAGGTCAAGATCTTTTTTGTATTTTTGAAAATTTTAATTAGTTATTACAGTATTACTAATACTATCCATGCTCATAAATATTTATTATTTACAGAAATTTTCATAAATCTTAGAACAACTAAAGAATTTTTTAATGATTAAAAGTTATAATGTTGAAATCAATATCAACTGAAATAATTTTATTATTATAACTGTTTTCTTATTTTTGAGACATCTGGTAAAAATTGATTTATTGATAGTTATGCCTTTTTGATGAGCTATTAATTTTAGCATAATCAATATAATACAGTCAATACTGTCTAAATACATACTATTGGTGAACACAAAAAAAATTAATTTTATGTATTTAAACAGTATTAACAAATCAAATACTAGAAAATATACTGTTTAAATGCATATTACTATTAAATTTTTTTAAAAAATTATGTATTTATACAGTATGCAGTATGTATTTAAACAGTATCAACTATATTTATTATTTACTAAGATAAACAGAAGCAACTGTTCAAATTTATAAATGATAATTACAGATTGTAAAAAAAAAGTTGTGCAATTCAAAAAATTTGTTATAGATAAAGTAAAAATATTAATTTATCTATTAAATTTATTTTTGCTTCATAAAAAATTAAGTAATTTAAGCTTTAAAAGAAGTATTGTAATATATAAAAAATTATTTATCAATCATGTAATTATATCAGAATTATCTGCAAATTTGAATAGACGTAATAGACATGACTTTAGATGATCTCTATATTTGGCAAAATACCTGACTAAATTAGATGATGCAATCTTCTCCAGTATCGCCAACAAATTTTTGTTGATCATGTGATGATCGATAAAATTGTTTAAGTTCGTTAATGTTTGGCTAAGTGGTTAAATTAAAGTTGAATATTAAGAGGATATAGTAAAATTACTCAAGAAATTTTTTTTAATGCATAAAGGATTGTTTCTTAAGCAAATTTTTGAGATAAAGGCAATTTTTTCTAAAGAAATATTTGTTTTGAAATTTTTTTGATCATGTGATATTACACCAAATCAAGATTCTTTATTGGATAATTTGTTGTAAATTATCACGTGATTGACAAAATTTATCATAGATATATAGTAATTTTTGTTGGTGATCCTAGTAGTTAGATAATGCATAAATTTCATATCAGAAGATTTGCAGTAGTGATGGTACCCAGGTTGAATATTACCCAGGTTATTTGCAGATAATTGGATATCCAGGTTGTAAACTTGTAAACTCAGCTACCAGATAAATACACCTGTGTATTACCCAGGTAGATATACTCAGATAATTTTTGGGTAACAAAAGTCTTATCCAAACAAAATAAATATAAATAAATTAATAATAAACTTAATACTTCAATATACTTTACAAAAAGTTATTTTTAAAATACCATATTTT